CAGTTATGACAGTTTACTGAATTGCGAGACTCAACGAGATAAATATATTGGGGCAATTATATATAGAGCGTCTGAAACATTGATATTTACAAATTAAGCCTCCCTCTTTGATCCATTTTTCAAATTCTCACTTAAATATCAAAATTCATGAGAAAAAATCCTGCTCGTATTTTTATTTTTTATCAAATTCTCAATGGTTTCATAATGTCATATGTCAATGCGTCTATTCGGCAGTTCAAAAAATCACTTGAGTGCTTGATTTGTGAATAGCAATGTTTCAGGGGCTCTATATGTAATTATCACATCTTACATACTGAAGAGGAAACAATAGCATATTTGCTGATGATGAATAACATAATTATAAAATGAGTACATATGATTCATACGTCCCTATAACGGTGAAAATATAAAATTTATAATAAAATTCCTGTGCCAAGATATAGCATTGTAGTTGCATAAACTAATTTAAATGAATCTTTTTTGCTTTTTTTTTTTGGCACTCTATATATGGCTGCATGATCGAGTCTAATTGAGGCCAAGTAAAATTCAGTGTTATCGTTTGAGTTGTATTGAATACCCTTTTGAATCTATAGAAGACCCTTTTACCCTTTTGCCTCACTTAGGTTATTTTCAAACCCGACATATTTTTCAAATAAAATATTACAATAAACATGTGATTTCTGTTACAATATGCTAAATAACTGTATATGCAAATGAACAATTTGTGCCGCTTACCGCGACTCTTTGGTTGACAGAGTTTTTAAGACCCCTGGGTCATGGGTTTGATCTCATCTGTGAGGGATGGAATTCTTTGGTACATGAGATTGGTCGGGAGGCTCGTATAATAGCCTCTGACCAATCTTAACAATTTACATGCATCAAGTGCTTCTTTTAGTAATATCACAAATCTAAAAAAAAAAACATTTATATAATCAATATGCACATAGTTGTGAACTTTTTACAACTAAATCTTCACGTCGTTTTTTAGTCATGAACGTGTTACATTATGAAATCATTGAAACCATTGAGAATTTGAAGATTTTATAGTCTATTTCAGATATCAATATAATATGCATATCTGTACTCTTGCAAAAAATTGAAAAGAATTTGTTTGTTGTATTAAAATTTGTAAATCTTATCCAAGTGATGATTTATCTTGGTCTTGGACTCTTCGAAACTTCTTTCTTTTATAAATAATCTCACAAAAACTTCTCTTCATAAAAGAATATAAATCTACTTGAATCCAAAATTATCCTACCCAAGGATCAGAGCGTTGGAGACCAAAGGGGGGAGAGAGAGAGAGATCGCACACACTTGTCCCATCTTCCTGAGCTCGGTGACCAATTTTATATATCAAAAAAAAAATATTATAAAGATAGGAAAGAGGGAGGAGCCCTTTGAACTATGGGCCTATTTTTGAGAGCCAAAAAGCCTTGTTGCAAGTGTTGGGCTCACTATTTATAGAATATGAAGGGCCAATAAGATTGAAATTACATTTCTCACCTTACTTTAATGAGGGGGTTGCAGAATATTTCAATCTTTTCATATTTGATGACCATTTTTAGCATCATTTGATATTTTTGGATTCTCCGTCTGATAGATTTCTCCTTTGATCAGCTGAGAAGTTGTTGGTCGATCATTCCGTCTAAATTCTGGGCAACCTGTGCTTTTGGTAGCGGTTCTGGGGTGGACGCTAATGGGGGGGGGTATTCTTTG